AAGGCTAATACCTTGCACCCTCCCTTGATCACTGTCTCGTGCATTCCACTTCAAACAAGGCGGGAGCGCCACTAGTACACAAGAGGTTACAGAAAGTGAAAGTTAGAGAGAAGACTGGATATTGGAGGATTGAGGAAAGGATAAAGTGGAGAACGGTGATCAAGAAAATGACGATTTACGTTACATTTAAATTTTTGAAGATTGTAGTTATCAGGGAAGCAAATAAGAGGATGGGAGTTCCACTGTCGGGAAGTGCAAGAGAAGAAGCTGTTGGAGTAGAAGAGGCGATCACATTTAACATTTCAACAGTAAAACGGTAGATGCCAATCTAGTAGCACGGTTAAATTCATGCAGTCAGGGCACCAGGGAAAATAGCTCGACATAGCAGTTATCATGAAAGTATTTGTAGAAAAAACAGAGGGAAGCCACATCTCGTCTGTGGGAAAGTGACTGGAGTCGAGATGCCAAGTCAGGACCTATCACATTGTATATCCGTCTTTGCATTCTGTTGCGAACCCCGAGAAGAACATCAGGGGCACCAGACCATGTATGGCAACATTATTCATTGCATGGACGAATGGTAGATTTGTAGATGTCTAGGATAGACTCAGATAAGTAAAACTTTCTGGAGTGACATAGAGAACCAACTTTCCTTGCGGTAGATGCAGCCATTTGTTCAATATAGTTAAACCTCAAGTCAAGTGGAAAACGCGAGGCCAAGAGTGAGACGCTCTCGTGGAGTCGAGAATCAACCATGTTGATAGGGCGGGGTGGCTGGGAAGTTTTACTCTAGTGGTTATATACAATTTATTCATTCAGCAGTATGAAGAAATCATGCTGTCTGCTGCGTCATAGTTATATGATTAAAAATTTGTGTTAAATAATAATTCTTTAATAACGACTTGCTTGGGTTTTTGCAGTCAATTCGATAAATTATCGTAACGTTTGTAAATTCTTGTCCAGTGTTAACCTTTTGTACTAGTCTCCTTTATACGAATTGAGAAAGAACATCTCTATTTTTTGTAAGAAAATTTTATGTATAACTGCACGCTTGTTATAAAAATGTCCTCGTTTTAACAAGAGGCTGACATGGTTTCTCTAACCTACAATATGTTTGTTTCAAAAGTTTTAATTACATAAAAAGTAAAACAGCCACATAGACCGTAATGTGTTTTGGAAGAGGCAACAGTAGCCAGTTATATATGAGGTGCTGACAAATATTAGGCCAGACCAACGTTTTAAAATCAGGCCAAAGGTCAGAATTTTAACGATTTCTCTTTCTCTCATATATATATATGTACGTCTAGACACATCGGATGCCAGTAAGCTAAAGTTTAGCGTCCTACATCTTCAGAGTTCTTTTCGATGTATAATTCTAACCGACACTTTTGTTTATATTTCCACTCCCCCTAGCCATATATAATTCCATCAGTAAGAATATTCTTTCAGTTTGATGAAGTCCTTCTGAAGGACGAATCACATCGTTACATAGAATATTTTTCCATTTTCTCATTCAATTATATATATATATATATATATATATGTGTGTGTGTGTGTGTGTGTTTGAATATACATGTGTGTTTATGTGTAGAGGGTGTCTACATGCTTGTTTGAGTCGTAGAGAGAGACAGATAGATAGAAAGAAAGAGAGAGAGAGAATCAGTGAGAGAGAGAATGAAAATACGAGAAAAATATTTCCCGGATGGCTATCCGGAATAGTTTCAGACGCAAACAGAGAAGTAGAAAGAATGAGTAAGGCGGAAAATGGTGGGTAGGAGTTGTTAGGATTTCTTTTAAGAATGGCCGCGTTATATGAAACCGGTTGGCGAAAATATGCCGAATCAGCAAGGAGGATGGGTAAAAGTATTTGGAGTAAATAGAGAAAATGCTGAGAAAGGGGTGACGTTTTATGTGGGGTGGGGTTGTTTTTGGTGGTGTTGTCAACGAAAAGGGACCACAATTAGTGACTGCAAACAGATAGATACTCGCACAATATATTCTTCTATTCATGACCCCACATTATTATATATATATATATATATATATATATATATGTATATATATATATATAGGTGCGTGTGTGCGTGTATGTGTGTGTGTGTCTGCGTGTGTTTGTGTGTCTGCGTGTACCCTAGACCGATAGACATAATACACACTGTTTAATGAATAAAATGCAGCGCCTATTTCAAATACGAGTATCCACTATAAACGTTTGAAATATATATATATATATATATATATATATATATATATATATATATATATATATATATATATATGTATGTGTGTGTGTGTTTCAGTAATATAACTTTTACAATAATAAGAAATAATACTGGATTATAAATAAAATCTATGAATTCCTTATATATATTTGATGGTGAATATCTTTGCTGAAATGTCCATATAACCACTCTGAAGATAGCTTAGATTGAGGAACAGCCTAATAAAAAAAAATATACAAATGTTGGATAGTTTTGTCTTTATTTTCTCTTGAAATGAAAGCAACAATACGAAGCCTAGAACGGATCATGATCAAACATAATAGATGTTGCTTGTCAGTTATATTTAACAATATATGTTTGAATAATGATCCGCTTCCCCAATACACTATATATATATATATATATATATATATATATAAGCACCCCTTTAAGAAACCATCAACGAAAAAAAAAAGCAAATAAATTAACACCAAAAAGACTGTAACTAGAACATCAGTCAGTAAGTTTTAACAAATATTAATAAAAACAACAGAGCCTGGGAAAAAAAGGCCATTGTAGCCAGACCCAAATCCTCCAACACAACTATACCCGACTCCAAAAATTTCACATATAACAAACATTTATATTTTCATCACAGTAGTGACCCCTTGATAACGAAAGAAAAAACCCAGATTGCACACCCATTTCCAATCTATAAATGAATAAAACATTTCTTCAGTTTGTAATTCTAAACATCGCTTGAGAATGAAACTGTACTCTAAATTTTAATATTAAAAGTAAACTTTAGGACTTGAGTAACGTTTCAAAACAGTAATTTTTCTGTCCCAATGGAATCATACATTTAAGAAAATAATTAAAATATTATATGTGTGTGTGTGTGTATACAGTATTGCATTGGTAAGAAGGAAGTTTCATTCGGCCAGCTTCTTCTAAAGAGACGATAAATTTATGGGGATAGACTCCGGAGAAGATCCTTCCTCGTACACTACGATCATAATTTCTTCAAGTCTAAGATCAATTGTTACCTGACGTACGTGCCCTCATAATCTGTACTTATTTCCCTCTTCCCCCTCCTATGTCGATGCAACAATCATATTTATTAGGTCTCTACACTGAGTGGCTCTTGGCCCTTGTTTTGCGTCAAAATTAAATTTAAAAAAAGCATTGCGAGTAATTGATATATATATATAAGAAAAAATATCAATATAATTACAGAAAATGCGATTATTATTACATTTATAGCTTCTCTCTCTCTCTCTCTCACACACACACGCACACATACACAATATATTATATATTAAGACTGGTACATATCTCCCTACTAGCGCTTGAAATCAGTGTTCAATCCCAGATAACAAAACATGGATTTCGATTGTTGATTTTCAAGGTAAGCAGATAACCTTGACCTGTGAAATTAGCACAATTGTATCTTATTTTCCTATATTGTTCCTTACCCTTAATTTAGGACTTGTTCTTCACTGAGTTACATCATATGACAGCGTGCTGGAAAGATCTTGGCTCAACCTATTTCTCCAAATCAGTTTGATCAATGAAATACTGATTCTTATCTGGGTTAGGCTGAGAACTTTTCAGCACCGAGTCACGCATACATACATCTGTTTAATTCGTACTGAGTTGGCTAGATCTAACCGTTAGTTCTAAACTAACAATTTCGTTCCTCGCTTGTGGTACTCTCTACCGTCTCCATGCTTTCCAGCTAACTTTAATCTTCAAAAGTTTAAATGCAATTCAATCGCTTTCTACTGTGCTTCTGATTACTCCTCTCGACTTTTAGTAATGTTTCTGTTTTCTAATTCTTCTATGCCCAGTAACACCTTGTGTTTGAGTGGCTTTACTTCCTTGCTTGGGGTGAAATTGATTAAAAACAAAAATCGAAGAAAGAACAAAAAAAAATGCGATCAAATAACATGGCAGCATATATGATTTTTTGTTCCATTAATTCATTTCTATATTGAGGTTTAACTTGTGACTCTTTGAACATAATTTTTTCAAGTATTATTGTTGTACTTTGTTCATTCACGGTGACGGCCTTTTCACCTCCTGGTTTCCTCAACATTTTTGGAGAGTTCACAATGTCATAACAAAGATACTGCTACTAGGCGTCGCCAGTGCAAGGGAGATAATTCTATTGGAGCCCAAAATTATAGATAAAAATATACAAAAACACGTGGTCTGTTTTATACATTCGAGAGCGTCTGTGTGTCAATATGTGTATTTATAACACAATTATGATATACGTAAACATACAAAGAAAAGGGACATACATTGATAGAATGGTAGACTGGCCCGTCTAGGGGTTTATAATATATATATATATATATATATATATATATATATATATATATATATATATATGTTTTTGTGTGTGTGTCACACACATGTATGCGCGTACTAATATTATCTTATGGCATCAAAGAAATGGACCAGTTCTTAAGTGGTTTGCTGGCTGAGACATGTCACTTTTGGAAGCGGGAGGGAGCCCCTTAGAGTCGCAGAAATAAGTGTTCATTCCAAACCTTCCTCTTTCCCATATTTATTCCTACCTCCTGCCTATTACGTATGTGCAATAGACGTACACAGATTTGACAGTGAATAGTTGGAAAAGCAGTCGTTTCAGTATACAATGATATGCTATATACACATATTGCTTTGCTCAATTCGACACAAGCCCACTTGTTGGCTTAAAACATTTCTATAGAAATGGCCTAACTGTATCACTGTAACTTCGTGTTCTACTTAGACCGAGAGGCAGAGACGTTAGGGAGAAAAGAGAGATAAAGGAAAGAGAAGAGAGAGGGGAAAAGAAAGGGAGAAGAACGGAAGAGAGAAAATAGAGAGGAAAGGATAAAGAGAGAGCGAAGAAAAGAAAGAGACAGTAGAACGTGTGTAAAGATAGGGAAGAGAGAGGGGATAGGAAAAAAAGACATAAAAAAGGAGAGGGAAGAGCGAGAGAGAGACACTGAGAGGGGAGGAAAGAGAGACACTGAGAGGGAAGGAAAGAGAGACGCACAGAGGAGAGGAAAGAGAGACGAGAGGAAAGAGTGACAGACAGACAAGAGGAAAGTGAGAGAGAGAGAGAGAGGGAGAGGCGAGGAAAGAGCGAGGGACGAGAGGAAAGAGACAGACAGACTGAAGGAAAAAGAGAAAGAGAGAAAAACAGAAGGAAAGAGAGAGAGAGAGAAATAGGCGTGAAGAAAGAGAGAGAGTGAGACAGAACAATGTAAAGAGAGAGTGAGAGACGAGAGGAAGAGAAGCACAGACGCTAGGAAAGAGAATCACACAGATCCTAGGAAAGAGAGAGAGAGACATAAAGGCTAGGGAAGAGAGAGAGAGAGAGAGAGAGAGAGAAAGAAATCGATTGATAAAGAGGGGACAGTGATAAACAAGACTGAGGAAAGAGAGAGACATAGAGTAGAGACTAGAGGAAAAGAAAAACTTGGTAGCGAAGGAAAAAGTAAAAAGAAAAGAAAAAATTAGAAAACAGAGACAGAAGAGAGAAAGAGAGAGAGAGAGGGAGATAGAGAGAGAGAAATTACTAACACAAAACGGTATCAATGAATAAAGTTTGAATTTAGCTTAGGGCTTCTTATAATGCTTCAGCCATAATTTACTCTTAGAGAAGGCATGAATGTACTGCTCCCTGCACTTTGGTTCAATGAGGATAGGAAAAATCTGTTGTATATTTTACATATGAAAATGGTTAGCAGAGAAAAGGAAAGAAAAAAAAACAAAAAAAAAGAACATCTTACAGCTCAGAAGTTCATATATATATATATATATATATATATATATATATATATATATATATATATATAAATTAATTTAAAATATGGTTCCATCGCAACACAGAAATTACTATGTTTCAAAAACAGAAACTTACAACTTCAAATTTAATTATATAGTTAAATTAAAAGCACTAGTTCTGTTTCATTTTAAAGCGAATTTTGGAATAACTTATTTTGAAATTTACTGAGTTTTAAAAGCACATACATTCATAATACTTGTTTTACAGTTCTTTCTTTTTTACTATATATATATATATATATATATACTTTCTTTACAATCGGAATTAATTGTTTTAAAATTCGCAGGTTTTTTCAAGCCCTTTATGGACTTCATAAACAGTTTGAAAAATACTGCGAATTTTAGAATTAAAATTCGTAGGTGAAAATGGTCATTAACTAAAGTTATCTTAATTCCAATTGTAAAGAACATTTGCTCTGTTTAATGAAAATAAACAGCGAGCGCTCTTTTGTGAGTCAGTTTTAACATATTTCAAATTCTATGTTGTGTTAATAGGACTCGTCTGGATTATATCAACGGATTACTACCTATATATATATATCGCGAATACTACCTAAGAGTTTAGTAAATCTGAATAGAGTAATCTGTTTATCTATCAAGTTATCAAGTCTTTCCCGGGTCTCTCCTGTAATTTCTAAGTCTCAGTAACATTATTTCATCAGATATAAAACTTGAAAGAAAATGTTCTTTATTGTCTTTCAGAGATCCATATCGCGGATACGGCGATTGGCTTTGTACTAATCCAGTTGTTTCATTACATGTTGGATTTGATCAAACGAAAAAAAAAAATGAATGAATGAATGGGTTACGTTTGCCACAAATGTGTTTTAAAACGCTCAATGCTATTTACAGTATACAAAAATGTTTACTTCCAAACATTTTTACCAATGCAAAAAGCTATGTATTAAAAAATGTGTTTTTTTTGTTCTTAAATGGAGTCATTTTCATAATAACTGCCATTGAAAAAGACTGCTTATGTGAAAACAGTAGGAAACCCAGACATCAACAATCGGTCACAGAGATCAAAATATTTATATTTAAGATTATTATTACTGTTATAATCCTCTGGATTTTGAATTCAGTTAAAATTATTTCTGTATTTAAAAAGTTTAGCTTAATAAAGGATAGAATTGCCATGATTGCTCACGTTCTGAAGAGACGAAGCACTTCGTAAAATGAGATTGAGGAAAATAACTCAAATGGTAAACTGAGGTTTTATTCGAATATTTTGAAAAGAAACTGCAATAAAAATAATTCATATATATTCAAAATTATAGTAAAAAAAATGGCGTCGAATCAGAAAGAATGTTTTGCGCCAACTATATATTCGAAACCCAGACTTTTAACTGGGTTACCATTGTCAGCGGTAGCAAATACGCAACTATTTCAGCTCCTTGGTAGAACTCTTAAAGTTCTACGAAAGGCGGGTCTCATATTATTGCTAATGATGTTTTTAAAATGTGCTCTTAATTCATAAAATGTTATATTTTTAAAATGGAATTATGTGTTGTCAGCGGTAGTTGGGTTTTGTGGGGAAGTGATACTGTAAATAAATAGGAAACGATTGAAAGTAGAACAAAAACAAGAGGAGTTATCAGAGAGTGGACCTGGCGTAATAGTTAAAATACTTGCTCAATGCCCTTATGCTTATTGTAATGAATCAGCCCATTTATTAAAATGTCCTATTAAAGAAAAAAAATGTATTTACCAGATAAGCCTTTCTAACCACTCTCTCTCTCTATATATATATATATATGTGTGTGTATGTGTCATTGAAACCGTAGCTGGTTCTATTTGAATGGCTTGTAGCGGTTCCCATAAACTCTCGCAGAAAATCAGGACGATTCATATGAAATGGAAGAAAAGGCAAAGATCTCAGGTTACATCGGCGAAAAGGCAAATAAGAAATTCTGTCTGCAGAAACGGATAATATTGTGTTACATCAAATGGGCGTTGCATAGTCGTTGAATACATTGTGTCAAGGAGAGTTAATCGTTGTGACAGACCGTATCTCCTTTCAAAGTTTCTATTGTAAAAAAAAAAAATAAGAACAAGAATATTTCCCCATCTGATGCAGTGGGTGTGTTCCTCATCCTCTTGGTCTGACACAAGATATTGCAATATATTCGCTGATGTTATAGATACTTCTCAGCTATGGTATTGGATTACGGGTGTGTCTTGTGGACAAAATTTCAAACTTCGACGAGATGAGTTCCTCGTCACTTTTTAGGTCTCTCCGCGCTAAAAAAAAACTGGAGATTCTAACAAGAATTTCGATTTTCGGATAGTAAATATGTTATGTGAGCAACGACAAAATGCTTGGAGAAAATGGAATCAAAAAGGAAAGATACACATAGAATCAGAAGAAAGACACTTGAAATGTCTATGACCTGTAATTAAGAAATAATTTGATACTCACAAGATATATTGAAGGCAATAA